TAATCCACTCCATTTTTAGTTGCAGCCTCAGTTGCGCTAGGCCTTAACCAAATCTGGCTTGCCTTGTGCTACAGTGAGTAATGTGGACCTTGCCTTGGGAGTATCTGCATGTGAACAGGATGGCTGTAGGAGGTGCAGGGTGGTTACTGTGCTGCTGAAGCACTTGTAGGCAGATGACTTCTCTGCAGCATGGAAGCATTGCCCAGATGTCATGATCAGCTGCCTTCTAGTGATAGATGGGTGGGGATCCTTCTAAGGGGGTTGTGATTTGAGACACTGGAAGGAGGACACTGAATACACTGTTGGCTCAATGGTAACTTCTGGAGGGAGTGGGAAAATCACTGTTCTTCCCCGTGTGCCCTGAAAGTTGAAGGGTAGAAAATTGGAGAATTTTAGTAGAGCACTGGATCCTATTAATGGATGTTATACTGCAGCTGAGGAGCCCTCACATCTCTCTCTGCGTTGCTCCTTTCTTAAGGGCCATTATATGCACCATTAGAAGATCCTTGACCTGTAAGTGCAGCAGATTCAGTGACAGAGGCATCCGTACTGTGCTCAACACATCCAGCTCTCATTGATGAGTGTTACAGGGCTTTTCTCTTCTGCTCCATTGTGCAATAACACATCAGAGCCTTCTGATGCTCCTGGCAGAGTCTGTGCTACCTTCTGACTTGTCCAGAGGATAATACTACTACTTTGTTCTTCCCTTTTCTCTTGGCCTATCTCCATGGTCCTGTTGCATTACAGGTGATCCAAACAGAGAACACTGAGACACTAAATTAAAAAAAAACAACTTTGTGTGAAACCAGATTTACCTGGGGCTGAATATACTTCTGTTTGAAACAAGGCTTACAGGGAGAGAAGGTAAGTCTGCTATGTGAATAGGAGTAGGGGAAGGAGGCAGTGAAGGGCAACTGTAACAGGAATTACCTCCTTCCTGGTAGAAGAAAAGGAGAGATGGTGGCTGCCCACAGTCTTCTCACTGAGGACCGGCTTGAGGGAGGGCAGCAAATAACTGAGCACGTGTACTGCTGTTCCTTGGCAGACAGAATGGCTACAGAAGCTGATAAGGGAAAGTGTCTTCAAAAGTAGCTGTGCAGCAAAAGAGCTAAGAGGTTCTTCCACTGCAGTCATTTCAGTTTAAAAAGTAGGGAGGATATCTGTGATGTCACTTCTCATCCTTTCACTATAATAATCCTTTGGAGAGAAAATTGTCCAAGAGCCAACCTGCTATATACCACTTTTCACATACAGCCTGTCACATGGCTCTGTGTCCACTCAGCATGCTTGTCTGCTTGGGTTTGAGGCTCTAAACATAGGTGTCCAAAGCTGTGTTCTCTTCTTGTTGATTTAAGAAGCATAGCCAGTGTACTCAGCTCAGGTCACTTACATGAACATACTGGTGGCTGTTTGTTTAGTTACAGCCTTCTCCCTTTATTACTAAAGAAGTCCTAGTGACACTGTTGTATTGTGACATTATGGATGTTCCAAGACTCACCACAGTGGGTGTTTCAGGTCCTGCTAATGAATGCCAAGAACAGATATCTTTAGGGAGGAAAAAAAGGCTGTAGAGGGTACTGCAAAAATGGTGCTGTTTTCCAGTTAATGTTGAAATAGATCTCATACCCAAACCATCCATTGCTGTTAAATCCTGGAGCATAATTTGGGATAAGGTGGCTGAGCCCAGGGAACACATTTGTGTCTGCCTGTGCAGCTGGGAGACTGAATTGCTCCTCTGCTGGGGAAAAAAAAAAAAAAAAGAAAAAAAGAAAAAAAAGAAAAAGATAATTTCCTGGCTAGAGAGGGCAGTCTGCAGGTGGGGTGTGAGAGGCGAACATTTGATTGCAGCAGGGAAAATGTGACACATCTGGTTTGGCTTCAGATTGTTTAGGAATAGTAGCATCAGTGCTCTGTTGGAGCTCAAGGGCAGAGGGGTGTTCAGTCAGTTGGACTTTCCTCTAAAGGTTTATTTTGTGTGTGTAATTGTTGCCGAAGGGCACTCGGCATATGAAGCCAGATCTAAAAGTTGCTAGTTCTGAAAACTTCAGGGCATAGCTGTCCTAATTTTCTGTACAGGGTCTGCCTTACAAACAAACTACAGAGACATGGCAAAGGGATTTAAAGGTTCCATGGTGTTTGTGGTCCTTAGAGGCACTTGAGTAGAGGCTGCTGCAGAATGTGCTGCTGTGGAAAAAGATTGTTTGCTCTTTTAACGTTGATGTAGTGTATATCTCAGTTAGGAATACTGCAACTTTTTTAGGAATATGTGGTTTCCTAGCAGATAAATTTTTCAGTGCAGGACACACAGTGACTGTAGACCTCTGATGGGTTAGTTCTTCTGACCAGGCTCTGAGCCCACACTCAGTTTCTTCTTCGTGTGAAGCATGTCCCTGTCCTTCCTAGTTCTTAGGAACAGCACAGATAGTTTTGAGTGGGCTATGATTCAGTGCAATTCAGGTATAAATACTGATTTCAAGCAGAGCTAATCTTTTGTCTTCTTTCTAACTGAAGCAGGAAAATTAAACATAGATTCATCACAATGGCTGAAACAAATGTGGAAGAGAGAAAGTTCTCCTTCAAGTGTTGTCACCAATAGAGAGCAGTACAAGTGCTTCAGGGTGGTCCATGAGAAGTGCTGAAGTGGGCAGTTGTAGAGTGCTTGTCCTTGTCATTTGGTGGGTGCTTGTGCTCTGGACAAATACACTTGTTCTTTTAAAAATGGTTTCTCCTCACCACGGACAGCTTTCATAGTCACTGTTTTTGGATGGTTGGTGGTGGCTTCTTGTCACGCTATGCCATGACCGGCAGACAAAGGCCATTCAGCAGGGCTCTTGTGGGAGGGTAAGAGGCAAAAAAATGAACATGAGGCTTCTTCACAACATGTCATTGAAATCCAGAGCTCTGCTACTTTGCTTCCACAAACCCCAGCTGCTGGTAATTGAACAGCAGCACCTGGTCATGAGCTCTGGCCCTGTGGACTTTGTGGCTGGGAAGGAGGTAAAATCAAGCTTGTAATTATGAGATGGAGAAATGGCCCCTGAGCTGCTGTGACAGAGATGCAGGGCAGCTGTCTGCAGTCCAAGGCACTGACTGCGGGAGACTTTTTTGCTGTGGAGGTTTGGTTACCTTGGCAACCTGGTTTTAGCTGGATCTTTGCTCTGGTGGAGAGCCCATCTGTACCTGCTACTTTGTTTCGAAACATTTGTTTTGCAGGAAAAGAACTGACAGGGATATTTTCAGAGCTGTGTTAGTGTGGAATCCAGGCTCTGCTTTTGGTCCCAGGAGTTTGTGTGATGATGGGGTGATGATGGTATGGAGACTTATGTGGCTGGATTGAAAAGGTGTTAATGTATCTGCTTCATGAGGTGAGCTGCTGACATGGAAGGGAGAAATGCTATTGCTGATGTTAGTCCTGGAGTAGCTCTGAAAGATACATCACTTGCATGTCTGGAGTTTGCAGGGAATTTTGTTCATTCTTGGTTTTCAGTTCAGCATCATCCACCTGCTGGAAGATTAGACAGAAGTAGCTTCTGCCTGTGATGAGTAAATACCCACTGTGGGGCTGCAGGCTTCCCTTTGGGTGTGCGTGTGTCAACTTGTGATACTCATGGTGAACTTCTAGTATTGTAGAGTAGAGGTTGCAGGACTGCATTCAGAATCTGACAGTTTTGTTTAATTCAAGATCTGACCAGTGTGTTTGCATGGTTTTGCTGTAAGTATTTTGATTTTACCTTTTGTCATTACTTTGTAATCTTGAAAGGGGTGAGTATCTAAATTCTGCCCATACCTCATTGCTGTTCCCTGTGCTTTATCTCTTCCTGTTTCATAGCCTGTACCTTGGGCTGAATGGTCTTTTCTGCATTCACTGTGGAGTTCTCCCAAACCACAGTTTATTTTCTCACCAGTTACCGGATAGAGTGTGACACATGTGTAATGGTGGGGGGAAAAATGGATTAACAAGTTCTACTTGTGCCTGTAAGAAATAGGAGCAATGCGTGGTATTGTTCTGTTGGATGAAGTTACTAATTAGTAGATAATTAAGAACCTTTTAAAAAGGGGTGTACAGTGTTCCAGCATTGACTTTTCAGGACATCTTAATTCAGATGTTTTAAGTCTTGAAATGTGTTGACTTCAGAGCAGAGAGTACATGAAGAACCTCTTCTAGTCAGGCATCAGCTTTCACTCCTGAACAGCTATAATGCAGAAGAAACTAGTTTTCTGAAAATTTCAACAACTAGGAAACAAAAAGGATAAGAAACTTTACATTTTATTCAAGTGCATGAAATGCAGTTGTTTATTGTAAAGTCTGTTTGATTAAAGCATTTTTAGCCTACCTTTTTGTTAATTACCACTGTTACTAACTGATACTGGGTGGTTACAGCAGCAGCTTTTGTTGTTTTATTATTTAAGACAAGTGTGAACCAGATCTGTAATCTTTATGGCACAGCCCCAGATAACTGACACAATAAAGTACTACATCCTTCTTTTTACCATTGCAGCAGCATTGACACAGAGCTACAGAAAAGCTGTGCTGGGGGGGTTTTCTTACCTTTTTTATTTTTTATAACTGTGGGTATCAACAAGAGTGACAGTTTGGGGCTGACTATGCATACATCGTGTTGATGATACATGAAGCAGAAACGAGACAGTTGGATTCTCCAACCCCAAAGCTCACTCCAGGATCCAGCAGATAGAAAAATCTTGAACTGACTGAGTTAACAAGAGATATACCTTGAGCCTGAGTAGATTTGATTGGGAAGTCAGTGAAGGAGAATAAATGTGGGAAGGCAAAATAGCTGTCACTTACCTGTTTGGCATGGTATTTTAGTAACAAAAAGCACCGCCAAACCCTACATATAAATTGATATATTTCTGAGGTGAATAGCTGGCATTTAGTTTAATTTACAGTAGACAGTGTAAATGCATCTGTATGTAAGTGACTTGTTGAGAATGGCTTTGCTTTTTATAGTATTTAAAAAGTACTTATTATTTTCTCCTAGCTTTGATCAACTTGTTGAAGTTCCTCATGTCTAATGAGACTGTGTTGCTGGCCAAGCACAACATCTTCACCCTTGCTCTTATGGTGAGCATCTTTACCCTTGCACAAATCCTCTTAATTTTAACAACTTAATTGTGAATTAATATTAGGAGATATGAGAACAAGGCCATGAAGCAGAGGAATATCATGGTTGGTTTCACTAGGTGTTTGGAAAGGGCAGCGCTTGGACTCACTATAGGGTTGGCTCATTGAAATAAAGAAGTCTGTGTGAGGAAAAGCCTAGTTTAATTTTCCAGATTTGTTAATTTTTTTGTTGTTGTTGTTCTGTGGTCCTTTATATGCAAAATAGAAACATGCTTCTGGCCCTAGATAAAACAGTATTTAAGCTTCTTGTCTGTCTTTGGTACTATAAGGAAAATCTGCTGCAACTGCAAGCTATTAATTTGAAGGTTTTGGACATAATGTGTATTGCTTCTGTTGCAGAAAGATTTGGGATAAATGTTGCTGTTGCAACTTCTTTTCACTTGCATAGGTTGTGAACCTGTTCAACATGTTCATCACTTACGGAGACACATTTCTGCCGACTCCCAGCAGCTATGATGAGCTGTACTATGAAATCATTCGCATGCACCAGAGTTTTGACAACCTTTATTCTATGGGTGAGTACCTCCTGACTCGTCAGGACTGCTGCTGCCGGGAAGTGAGGGTGGTGCAAGAGGGATGTTTGCCTCAAGTGTTTCCTGAATACCTGCCACTGATGTGTGCTGTGCTGGGTGAGCATGTTTTGTGTACTAGGGCATGTTGGTAAGTTAAGATTTGAGAGAGGGATCAACTTATTAAAAGGAGAAGTTTTTTTTAATGTCACAAAAAAATAGAGACAGGCTCCTTGCCTCTCCCTCTGTCACTTAATGTTGGAAATATAAATTTATTGTCACAATGGAGTGTGTGGTATTTAATGCATTTTGTGTGGTTTTCTTCTATTACATTTGACAATTTCAAGTCAAAAAGCAGGTACATGCTGCAGAACCACCCAGCATAGAGAAACACTGAATGCAAATAAGAATTTGGAAAATAATTTGAGAAACTTACAGCAAGAAGCTTGCTGTGCTAGACAAATCACATCTACTTCACTCATTGCCAAAGCAACCAGGAAAACAGCCCTCACAAACCTGCTTGCAGTGACAAGTGAGTCGCTGGACTGAAGAATGTGCCCCCTGGCAAAACAGGGAGAAGCTGCCATCCTTCAAGAGAGAGGGAAGGGAGCCAAGTGACACCCAGCAGGGAAGAGGAACAAAGAAAAGCAAGGAATGTATGGAGGCATAATCAGTCAGTGTTACACACTGGCACCTGCAGCCCAGGGTAGCTGCAGCAGCATTGGTGTGCTGCATGCTTGAAGCTGTGATAAAAAGAATATGGCTGTGTTCTTTGTTTGCTTCATTCCAAAAGGACCTTTCAGTCCTTCACCCTCTGCTCCCGTCTCAGCGTGATCACCCAACGAACAACAGGAATTAAATAAGCGTATAAGGAGAGTTAAAGGGCAGACAGTTGGGCCACAGCCCTCTTCTGACATGGGGGGAGACATCCTCACCTAAATGAAAGTAGCCGAGTACCCCATGTACTGCAAGCAGAAACAAACTGCCCTTTTGTATAAATTTCCCAGTGTTTTCATCTGTTACATAAGGGATTGCTTGGCCATTTTTGTGCCCTCTGAGTGCATGAGGTTTTTTGCTAATCCATTTTCTACTCCCAAGAGTTGCAACTAGTAAGATGAGGTGCTTTTACTAGGTAACAATTTTTTCAAACCCATCCCCTGTAGAAGCTGAAGTTAAGTGGAATAGAAGTATAATGCAGTCAAATACTTCCTCAGTTGGGTTGCGAAAGGCACAACTGAGCTGTTGAAACAATTTATCACATGAATGTTTGCCATCCTCCTGTGTAGAGTAAACCCCATTGAATTACTCTTGCAAATGCCTGAACTGAATCTATTACTTCAGATATTCCTGTACAGTACCTACTGTTTGACAAAACAATGTTACTCAGAGATGATGACATTTTTCTGCAGATGACATGTAGTGGTGGAATAGAAGGTGAGAAGGTAGCACTGTCTCAAGTTAATGAAAGCTACCAGGTGTCCTGATAGCTTCCCTTTGCTTATCAGCCCATCTCTGAGACTACAGTGATTCTTCTGTCCCCTAGCCTTTGGGTATTAGCACAGATAGAGAAAGCTACTCAGTCCTTTAATTTTTCTGTTAATGTGGATGAAACTTTCCATGTTGGGAGTGGAAGTGGAATCTAATTGACTTGTTTTTTTTTTCTCTTGTTCTGTAACTAAACTTTATCCAGATCCGCAGGACTGAAAGCTTCTGTCCTTCAGTTGTAGGCATAAGTAGGCAGCCACTGTGTTTAAGCACTCACTTGTAGAATCCATGTTTCTGGATGATCCTAAATTTGGATGGTGAGCTGTTCCTTCACTTCTAAATTGAGGGTGAATCTTTCTTATGAAGTCTAACCTCCAGAAAACTCTGTATGTACAAATTCATAGAAAATTCCCTTTGTTCAGGAAAGATGGAAATTAATCAAAACATCTGCTGCAGTATCTTTTATTGTTTTGATGCTTACCAGGAGTTGTGCAAGTAACTGCCACCATAAAAACACTACATGTTTTGACCTAAATAAATATTTTTGGTACTCTGGCAAAAAAGAATTGGATTCCCTAGAAGGTCTTCCTGTTGCGGAATGTTTTCAGATCTGCTCTTAAGTCTGTCAGAGACCATCTGTGCAGGAGAACACCACCCTTCTTGCTACAGGCAGTGTTTTTTCTTTACGCTGGTGTGTAATTCCTCTCTGCAGCTCTAGATAAATGGGCATGGGAAGAATGCTTCATTGCTGGAGAGGGTTTTAACTGCAGTATGTAGTCCAGTTCAGATGGAGCCTTGTGTTACCAGGAGCTGGAGGAGAACAGCTGTGTGTGGAATAAGAGCTATTCTAGGCTTGGGATGCTGCTCTGTTTCTGGGGAAAATGAGCTGTCTGTGTGATAGTGAAAGCAGTTTGGAGGACCCAGGTTCTCCCATCCCCTCTGGCTCAAGTCATTATTCTGTTTGGCTCACCCCTTCCATGTTCCTTATGTTTCTTAGATGGGCTTTGAAGGGAATTTCTTACTCTGGATCACAGATTCTTAAAGATGACCTTTGTTTTGATGTGGCTCCTGGACTGCCATCTTTCCAAAGCAGACTTTTTTTCCTGGTTTGAATTATGAAATTGCTAGTTCTGTGCCAGCATTGCAACTGTCTTCTCCTTTCAGTTCTAAGGCTGTCTACCAATGCTGGACAATGGAAAGAGCCTGCAAGCAAGGTGACCCATGCATTAGTCAATATTAGGTAAGGAGTAGAAATTAATTGCTCTTTTAAAGTTTCTCATTTCCTGTGTGACTACATTTTTATCATGACATTACACATTTGTTTTAACGAACTTTGTTTTGAATTTGTTCTACTTGTTGGGCTAAGTTGTTGCTCTGCACAGGGCTGGCGGGCATAAAGGAATGATCACCAGGGTTTGATTATCCCCTAGTAATTCTCTCAGCTCTTCTGCAGACTGAGTGCTTTCAAAGCATAGCACAAACTGTAATGAATTAATCCTCATATCATTCTTGGGAGAGGTTATACAGTAGAGAATAATGCTGTGCTGGCAGAGCAGTTGTGAACCTAATGGATTTCTGTTGCATGGTTCTATAGCAGTTCCACAAAGCTATGAAGGGACTGTAAGCCTGCTGTAATAAGCAGATTTGAGGCCTCTTAACATTGCAAGATTTCTGTGTGTTTAAAACTGATTATTTAAGGACATTTCAATGTTCTCTTAAACCTCCACTTCCTGTTCAAGGGCAGAAGGGGAGAAGTTATGCTTTACTTGTAAGGCTAAGGAGTGTAAATCTAGGTATGTATTCTTTCACAGTGGCAATCATTTATTTTTCTGGCACCTAAAGCAGCTACTAGTGACCAAGCTGGGTGCTGGGCAAGAGGATCGTGGATATGATTGATTGGAAAATGGAGGAATGTCGAGAGAGAAAATTTACTTTTTAGTTCTGGCTTGTAAACAAACCATAAAAGATAAAATTACTTATACTGAGAAAAAAATCTGTGTATCGCTTCCCTAGTCACCCCAGGCACTTGGTGTCTGTGCAACAGCAAGTAGCTCAGTACAGTTGCATTGCTAGTACTCCTTGTTTTCCTCACTACAAAAGACGTTGTGTAGGACAAACTCCCTGAGGGCATTTTTCAAGTCAATATACATTTACATGTCTGTGAACCACCTTAAAGGTTCCCTTAAAAAGTCTGTAAGCTTGATAATATCATATATGATTCTAGACTTATTTTGCTGCTATCCTTATTTTGGGTTTTTTTAAACAGATGTAGGTGAACATGTGTGGGTAGATAGTGCACTTGGAGTGAAGCAGCAGAACAGGTGGCTGTTGACTAATGTCACTTAATGTGACAAAGTGGGAATGCTCTGTACAACCCAGCGAGAGAAGTCTACCCTTGCAAGAGAGAAAAACCAAGTGATCACAGAGTTTGTGCTCACCTCTGGTTTGTGGAACCCACTTTGCATGGGCTTATTTCCTGTTGGCTTTGCAACTGCTTTTGTGAAGATCAGCATGCAGTTGAGACAAGATGCAATCAAAAAACCAGCAAAAAACCCCACTTTGTGTGTCCTGTTATGGTGTGAACATGATATGCCTTCAAGGACAACCTGTATCAGACATGTTCAGAAGATGGTGAAGTCTGGAATCAGTGGAGCCTCTAGTCTGTTTCTCTTCTGGACTTCTGGTAGCGTTCCTCTGCTCCACCTAACTGCTCATCTATGTTGAAATTTCATGAATGACTGCTTTTCATTCAATGAAATCAGTAAAGATCTAAATTACAGACGATTCAAGGCCTTGGAAGGGATTAGAATTCTGAGAAGTTTGTTTGTTTGATTGATCCCATTTCCTTGTTCTCAAAGAAGGGAAGGAAGAGAGTTTTGCCTTCTGGTTTGTTTTCTTCTGGTGGTAAAAATACTGTGTTTGAAGGATTCTTTAGCTGAATAGATTGCAGAGCAGCCAGAGAAGTCCAAAGGTAGTGTCCTTTTGTGAAGGTGTTTGGCAGTGTGATGGTCCAAAGAGGTGACTGGGACTAGAAGCTGGCTTAGCTCCCTATTATCTGGATTTCCTGTTTGTGTGTGCCCCTTTGGTTTTCCCTTAGAGTGTCTTATTTGGATGCTTTTGCCATGAAGGAAAGGAATTTAGAGAAATCTGCGCAGGATTTTTTCCTCACCTTGCTTCATCATTCTCTGAAGTTTTTATGAGCGGTGATTACCTGATTTTTGCTGTAACTGTGCAGTGCAAAGTCATGCTTTGGTTTATATCTTGGTCTCATTGCACAAGCTATTTAAAGATAAATAAACATTGCAATTTCCCTATCCTAGGGCTTTTAGTGGGTTTTAGAAATATAAAAGCATCTGCCTGTGCATGCATACAGTGGGCTTTAACAAGTGTCTTAAATCCTAGTGTACAATTTTATGTGCATTTGTGCCGGGGGAGGAGAGGTGAGTTGTTTACAAAGTTCAAGGCTGCAATGCATTTGTGTTACAGGAGTAGCTATTGAGGAGACACCGAAACAGTCCTGCTGTACCCCACAGTGCTGGACTGATAAGCTCTGCTGAATAATTGCTTAAATAGACAGGATGAGTAATGCCTAGAGAATCTTAGACATGTTCTTCTTTAAACTCAGCTGCAGAGAGATCCCGCTTTGTGTGTCCTATTATGGTATGAACAGCACCTTTTAGTTGGACTAAAAATTCTCCAGTAGACAGTCTGAGTTTTGTTGTTGCTGATTATTTGAATTTTGTTGTCCTTACTCCGGTCAAAAAAGCAGTCATGAATATTCTTTTTGAGTATTAAGAGATAGGGAGGCTATTCCTGCCTTCTATTATCCTTTCTACAGATAATTCATAATTTCTGTCCAACCCAAAGAAAATGAAAAATTGAAGAAGAAAGAATAATAATATCCTTATCTGTCTGAAAATCTTACATACCAAACCGGAATGAGTGATTCTGATTGCTGTCCTATCTCATAATAGTCATTATAATTTCTGTCTGTGGATTTGTCTCTGTGGTTTTCATAAATAATTGAGATATGATAGACTGTGAGATATAGCTGCAGCACTGATGAGGTTGAAATAGGAAGGTGCAGCAGTTGGTGGTTTGAAAACTCACCTTCTCACCTACGAGGAAGTAAACACATTTTGAGACAAGTTTTTTTTTTTTAAACTAATGAGCCTCTTCAAGATAACATTGTGCAGGTTTGCATTTTGCATTTAATGAGAATTTTATTAACGCAGGGTTCAAAGGGGCATTTTCCAACTGACTATTCAGTGAGCAAGGTGGTAGCTGAATCCCTGTATTCTTTTAATAGACTTTCTCCTGATCAGGATTTTTCCAAGGTGAATAAATAGATTAACTCAATGATTAATAGGCTGAATTTCTCCCTCATCTGAAATTCAGCCCTGTGGTAATTTTTAAAGTAATTTTATTTTTCCCACTGAAACACTTTTAATAAGCAGAGAGTAAGTTTGTAGCGTGGAACTGGGTGATAGGATATTTTTTTTAGGTGTTTCTGTGCTGTTGTAGCATAGGCTGCCGTCCTTGCTTGGGTGCTTTCGTTCACTCTTCCATCTTGCAGCTACTTTTGTTCCACTTGAGCCACCCTGTCTGATGCTTTTTCCTTGAATGGGAGATGCTGCTCCTCCCAGGGCTGCTTTTGGGGCTGTCAGGGAGAGACTGGGAATTTGGGAGGAGCACTCAGAGCATTGCATGGATGTGTATAAAATGATTATGCTTGGTGCCAGTCTACTTAGGAGCACTCTGAAGGAACATTGGCAATTTTAGTTAGGCCAAGTTGGACTGTGCTTGTTTGTTGTAGGACACTTGTCATCCTGGCCCTGAAGCTATAGCTCCTGATAAATTACCAGCACTCACAGAACTGCACTTATTGAAAACCTTGACAGAGGAGAAGGCTCCGCTCAGGTATTTGTTAGAAAGTGGCTGACTGCAAGCAGTCCACCTAGTACCTTCAGGATTGTTCCCCCAGACTGCAAGGAATTCAGCATCTGTTTAAGGGGAGAGAAGACCAAAATGCTGCTGACCTAGTCATGTTGCAATGGCTTTTATGCCATTGTGTGAAATGTGTGGATGTGTGAAAGTGGACCTGCTGATAGAGAAATGCATGTCTGTTTGTGGTGTAGGTGGTGACCTATGGATTACAGTCAGCTGAGACTGTGTGCAAAATATGTGTTCATATGTGTACACACACACACTTCCTTCCCTCTCTGTACAGACTAACAGACATACAAACACATTTCTTGCCAATATGAATCAGAGTGAAAATGGGAGAACAAACTTAAAGCCTATTTATGAAAATAAATGGTCAAGAAAATCTATGTGCATATGTATTAAAATACAGATGTCTGTGTGAGCATTATAGATATATGCACCTATATAAATATGAATATCCATAGATGGATGTCTGTGTATATAAATACATATATAATACATATACAGGCATACTCACACGCATATATACACTTAAATTATATATATTTATTTACATATATACTGTATATGTATATAAAATTTATTTACATATAGAACACACACACACAGATATGTTTCCTTTGGCAATGGACTTATTGAAGCCATAATCTCTGAGCTGAAAATACCAATGTTCTTCCAAGCTAGAACCTTGTTTCTAGCTTCTCCCAGATGAACCACAAGGGTTGGCTATAGATGATCAGTGTTGCTTCTTCAAGCAGTGTGGCTGCATTGGATGAGTCCTCTGGAACTGTGGGACCATGTGGAGCTGCTCAGGGCCAGGCAGTGCAGAGCAGCAGAGGGTGCTCAGGCATGCAGGTTACAGCCCACAGTGATCTGGAGTTCATCCCCTGCAATTCTTCAAACCACCTGTGAGGACTACACTGATGGAATAACAACTCCATTGAATTGTTCACTGAGGTGTGTTTAATGGTAATGACCTCTGACATGCTGTCACTGCTAATCAGCCTGACTGAGCTCAGATCACAGGATAGTACAAGACAGTCAACAATTATTTTTTTAATAAGAAAAAAGCAACAAGGCCCAAAGAGAAACTCAGCAATGTATTTTATCAGTACTTTTAAATCGTAACACAAGCTTGATAAGATTATGGGTCAAATTCTTACTAAAATGATGTAAGAAAATTTCTGAAGTGTATGCATCCAAGCTATTTGAAGAATTAGTTCATTGCAGTTTTCAGGTGGTAGCGTGGTAGCCTGAAAAAATTCTGATGCTGAAATCTGAACGCAGATTTTA